TGTGGGAGGAAATTGGCAGCAGGCGGTCTCTCAAGTACCCAGATCCAATACCATGAAGGGCTTTATAAGTTGCAGACTACAGGAACCATTTGCACCCCTCAGGTGATTCTGAGGACACAGATAAAACCTCCAAGTGGCCTCAACGACCCTCTAAAAGGATGCAAATGACCAGCTGCCTGCAAGGAGTATCAATCCTTCCATTCCCCACCATCCAAGTCAGAGCAGAAGAAGCTTCTTGGATGAGAAGTGAAATGTCTTCAAAAGGAAAAAGCAAGAAAGTCCATTTCCCTCCTGAAAAAAAAAGCACCTTTGGGACAATTGTGACTTGGATGGCGGAGAACCTCCAGAGACATTCCTTGATTAATCATCGTTTTAGTCTGTAACGTAGTCCTCACCTAACGACTGGTCGCTTACTCACTGCTTGAAGTTACAGGCTTTCCCAGAGTTACTTATGACATGCCTGTATGTTTCTGAACACCCCCTTGTTACAGGGGGGAGGGGGGGCGATGTGATCGTATTGTGGGCGCTTGGCTTGCATTTATGGCTGTCCGTCATGCTCTAAAGTCATGTGACTGTTTTACTCTTCTACTGGTTTCTGGTCTTTCCTTCCAATTTCTGCCAAACAAGGTTCATTGGGAAAAACAGGCTTTCTTAACGACTGCAGTGTTCACTTAATGACTGTGCTTTCTGCTTAATGACTGCGCCATTAGCTTAACGGCCACCACCCCCCTCCACAAAGATAGGTAATAGAATCAGGTTACTTATTGAAATAATTCCTGGAAAGTAACACAGGTAGTCCTGGATTTACGGCCACAATCGAGCCTAAAATTTCTGTTGCTAAGCGGGACATTTGTTAAGTGAGCTTTGCCCCGTTTTGCGACCTTTCTCGCCACCGTTGTTAAGCGAATCGCGGCAGTGAGGTTAATGACATGGTGGCGGAGTGGATGCAGCTTCCCCCTTGACTCTGCTCATCCGAAGGTCGCAAAATGGGATCACCTGACTCCGGGAGGCTGTGACCGTCATAAATATGAGTCAGTTGCCCGGCATCTGAATTTTGATCACGTGAGCAGACCCTGTTGTGTTCTCTTTTAAGGCAGAGTTCCCCAAACTTTTTGGGTTGGCGGGCCAGAGCAGTGGGACGGGGGAAAGATGGGGTGGTTTTATTGGCCTGCACGAGCGCCCACAACATTCACAGCCAGTTGTGCGAAACGGCTGCAAGTAATGAGGCTCGTGTGAGTGGGACCACGAGCGCCTATGGCAATGCTCGTGTTCTGACCTAGCTCCCCAAACACGACCAGCCCTCTGACATGAACTCAACAGATTCCTTTATTAGGAGCGCCGGCAGCCCCGGCAAAAAGTTTCTCGCACCGCCGTCTAACAAGTCTGTCCGGCTGGGAGATGAATAGTTGTCTGCCACACCTATTCATCACCGTCCCCTGCCTTCTATCCCCAGAACTAAGGTGGGGCTTTTCTAGCAGCTTTGGCTCTTCTGTCCCAAGGACCGGCCCATAGATTTCCCCTGCTCTCCTCTCCTCTGCCACATCTATCCATCTCTGCCCCCTGCCTTTTATCCCCAGAACTAGGGTGGGGCTTCACTAGCAGTGGTGGCTCTTCTGTCCCAGGGACCGGCCCATAGATTTCCCCTGCTCTCCTCTCCTCTGCCACATCTATTCATCTCCGCCCCCTGCCTTTTATCCCCAGAGTTAGGGTGGGGCTTTGCTAGCAGCGGTGGCTCTTCTGTCCCAGGGACCGGCCCATAGATTTCCACTGCTCTCCTCTCCTCTGCATTCTGTGCATCCGCGCATCAGGCACTGGACCCAGCTGTTCTCCTCTTCCTCATAGGCCACCTCCAGACCTGGGGGCTGTTGACGCTCCATCTGAGGGCTGACGGCCGGCCCAGGTTCCGCCTCTGTCTCTCTCTCTCTGCCAGCTCCATTCCCTCTTCCCCCTTGGAGCTCTCATATTGCCCTGACTCCCACTCTTCCCTCTCCTTCTCTGATTCTTCTGCCCAGTGGCCAACAGGCTACAACAGCTCGCACAAGTGAGGCCGCATGAACGCACGCACTCTGGCCGGCCACTCCTGTGGCTCAGCGGTAATTAAGCCGCGGCCCCCAGACATTTGGGACCCCTGTTTTAAAGGCTAACCTGCGTTTTGGGTTTTGTTCTTGGCACAGAAATCGGTCAAGGCGATATCCCGTCCTTCTACACGTACGAGGAAGGCTTGTCGCGTTTAACAGCCGAGGGTCAGGCGACCTTGGAGAGGCTGGAGGGCATGCTGGCCCAGTCCGTAAGCACTCAGTACCACATGGCCGGGGTGAGAACGGAAGAGACTCTGAGGGATTTTGAAGGTACGGATTCGGCGGGCAGCTTTTCTTGAGACACCTTGGAATGTTTGAGGGGCCGTCTCTGGTGGTTCACCCACAAAACCGCGCCCGATTAAACCGCGTCGCTGACATCATCAACAGGGCGACAACAGTGCGGAGACAGAAGCACGCTGCAAACCCTAAACCTAAAATTAACACCTAAACCTAACCCCCCTAAACCTAATCCTAAACCTAACCCTAAACCTAACCCGAAACCTAACCCTAACCCTTAACGTAACCCTAAACCTAACCCTAACCCTTAACCTAACCCGAAACCTAACCCTTAACCTAAACCGAAACCTAACCCTTACCTTAAGTTGAATCGGCTTGCTTTCAAAGCGCTATTTAAAGCGCCCTTCTTTCTTTGCGCTGGCTGTTGTTGCCCTGTTAATGACGTCAGCGACGCGGTTTAATCGGGCGCGGTTTAGTCGAGCGCGGTTTTGACGGGTCACGGTCTCTGGTTAGGATTTAAGGCAGGCACCTCCAAGCTCTGCAAAAGATTTTTGTTGCTCGACGCAACTCTCTTCCTGTGTCGAAGAGTAGAGAAATCCGCCAGTGGTGGGTTGCTCTTATCTTCGGTACCAGGACGCTGCTCGGGGTCCATTCGTGCACATGCAGGATGTGTACTGTGCTGACATGCGCTGCCCACGCATGCACACTTTACCGGCCCTGCGACACCCAGCTGCTTGTCAGAGGTCGCACAGGCGCCGTGCGGGCGTGCACAATTGCCCCGATTGCCTTAAAAACAGGTAAGGAACGCGGGCAGGTGGGCCAAATGAGCCACTGTACTGGTACGGTGCGCGCTGCTCCTGACTACTACCGGTACGGCTGAAACCCACCCAATCATTTTCAACAAACTTTCCTTCCATCTAATGGCAAAGAGATTTCGATGCCGCAGTCGTTAAGTGAATCACTGCAGTTTATAACACGGTTGTTAAGTGAATCTGGCTTCCCCATGGATTTTGGCTTGTCAGAAGGTCATAAAGGGATCAAGTCACACAGACACACACACTCAAACACTGCGACCGTCGTAAATGTGAACCAGCTGCCAGGCGTCTGAATTTTGATCCCGTGACCACGGGGATGTTGCGACATTTTTGTAGGTGTGAAAAACGGTCATAATTCACTTTTTTTCGGTGCCGGTGTCCCTTCGAACAGTCATTTAAATGAATGGTCGTACATTGAGGACCACCTGCAGTAGCTGTGGCGGCGTAGTGGTTAGAATGCAGTACTACAGGCTACATTTGCTGACTGCCAGCTGCCAGAAGTTTGGCAGTTTGATCCTGACCAGCTCAAGGTTGACTCAGCCTTCCGTCCTTCTGAGGTCGGTAAAATGAGGACCCAGTTGGGGGTGAGAGGCTGGTTCTGTAAAACCACTTAGAGAGGGCTGGAAAGCACTGTGAAGAGGAAGGAAGGAAGGAAGGAGGAGGGAAGGAAGGAGGAGGAGGGAGGGAAGGAAGGAGGAGGAGGG